TGGCAATAATAATAGTTATCTGATAGCTGAATCTAATATAAAGTCAAATTGTGAAGACATCTTTGACGATTACAACATCTTTGCCACATACGCGCGGCACACACTCAGCGCGTGATTTATAGAGCTGATAGAGCACATAACATATAAGTATGTTGGATGACTTACGGTTCGAAATTTCTGGGTTGTTGTGTCGGCTCATATATCATTTTGTAGTGCGGCTTGCATATGCCAACAGCAGGCAGCGCATAGGCACAACTTTCTGTGGCAATGTCTGCGTCTGGCATTGACACATGCCACGCTCTGCGCCTAAACAGCTGCGCAGCTGCCACGAAGCGCGATAAGATGTCGCAAAAGGCAGCTGTGGTCCACTTGAGCTCAAATATCTATCACACTTGGGTAAATATCAACAGCTCTTTGGCTCAATTTTCATATCTGTTTAGAAAAACACAGAGAAAGAAATGAAATAACAAAGAGCTGCAAGTTTTCAATAAATTTCCTTCAGCTGCAATAAAAATCAGTCGATTGATTTACGAATTAAGCAAATATAAACTTGCCAGCCATGACGGCATGTCAATCATACGCACTGTTAGCCAGCGAAGCATTTAGCATTCCCATTATGACAATGCTAATGAAAAGAAAGCAAGATGCTCAGTTATATATTTTGCATATGCTTGCATGCAATTAAAATAATTAAAATAAACATTTCCAATGATAACAAGCCATGCAGCCAAGCTCACAGAGACGCACGCTTAAAATATTATCATCGCTTGGTCATCAATTTGTTTTTTGACTAGCTTTGCTTTTAAAATGCAAATGAAATAAAAGCAGTGTGCACGAAATATATACATATATAAATATATACCTATATATGTATTATGTATATATATATATGTTTCAAGTATATGAGTCTGTGCAAGGAAAACATTTTGAATGCAATTTCATATTTATGACTGACACAAAACGCTGACCATTCTGCTGCGGGTTAAGCAAGGCACATTTTATGAGTTATATTTTGTATAAAAGCACTTGAGAATATTTCTTTTATGGCGCAGATTTTGTTCGACACTTTGTTGCCACTTTATGATGCAACGCTCATTTTTGGCTGCGGCTGTGGCTGCTAATCAAAGCGAAGCGAAGCTTATAGCAGCTACTTTAAATTTTAAGAATTATTGTTAAAAATTATCGTCTTAGTTGCAGTCCTTATCCAATATAAATAGATGAATATTATATATATTATATATATATTTAGCTGCCATCTGCTGTAAGGCAACTGGTTCCTGATGAACCGAGCACATCAAATGTATAGGGTGCACATGGCACATCGCATCAAAGTTTTAGCACTCGCCGAGTCGCCTGGGCACATAAAAAACTGTTTACATTTCATTCATAAAATATCAATTACGTACATGTGTGGCAGCTAAGTGACACACACTCACACACACACAGACACTCGTGCAGCGCACACATATGCGTGGCTTTTGTGAGTCAAATCGATATTACACAAATACGTGAGGACATCAGGGTTCATTGCTTAAGTTTTGCACTGTGCGACATTTTGGGCCAATATGGCGCACCACGCACACTGATGGAAATTTAACGAGTTGCACGCCAACAAGAAGCAGCAGGCATAAAATAGCAGGACATCGCCATACAATAGCTATACATTAGAATCAGCTGTCAGTCCGATAACAGAGTTGGGCACGGGAAAGAGAACGAGCACATGAAGCTAAATGCTCATAAACAACTCGTTGGATAGTTGACGTGACACAACCTTTATTTGGGAGAGCATAAAAAGCTGATAAAAAGTCGAAATGAAATTCGATTTGTAATTAGTTTAATCAGGGTTTCTTTTAACTAAATTTCTTAATAAATTTGAAATTTTTAAAGACTTAAAATGAGAGATGATAAAGTAAATTTATGCATGCAAGACTCTTGTTGGGTGAGGCTGTATGATTTATAATCTAGATATATTAATTTATATTTGAATATGTTGCAAATCCAAGTTTATTTATTAAATTCAGCGTATCTGAAAGTCGGCTTCTCTTACTTGTCCAACTTTATTTTTATTCTAACTAAATTTGCAATTTAAAATTGGCTTAAATCTTTCTATTCCCAAATGTGTTATACAATCAATTATTTAGCTGGTTTAACTGTACCCCCACTCCACCTCTCTCTCTCTCTCTCTCTCTCTACTGCATTGAGCTTAATTACAAAATTATTGTGATTCGCCATATGAAGTGCGGTTTAAATTACTTTTGCATCGCGCCGCTGATTCATAAACTAAATCGAGATTTATTTTGCAGTAAATGCAATTAAAGCATTTAAGCGTTTTGTTTCATAGTTTGCATAGCTTAACTAGCAGCGGGCCGTTAATACACGAGTGCCAAATGCGTGCACTAAAATCCTCTCAACGTTAACGCAGCACGTTTAATTGACTCTAAATGCGAAAATGCTCTCTAAATGGGCTTTCCATTTATTAATGTCTGTGCGCTTATGCACAACTAATTTGCTCGACACTATTTCTAAATTTGTTAACTATTTGCGGCCAGACAAATTAGTTTAGGCAACAACAACAACAGCGTTTGGCTGCTGGCAAAGTTAAAATTAATGTAGGATTTCCTTTCCAGAAAAGCTTGGCATGCAGAACTGCTTATGAATAAAGAAATGTAGCAACACACAGCAACAACAACGCCACACACACTTAGCTAACACTCCCAGGGGCTACGAAATATTAGCATACATTTTACATGGCGACCCACACATGGACCCAGGCAAAACTTGTCGCTTGACAGACAGACAGCTTAGCCATTTGGCAGTCAATTGTGTGTGGCCTAGACGTTGTAGCCGGGCTGACAGCGGCGGAAGGAAGAAATTTTCAGCACATCTGAGCAGCGGCGCAATTTTTGGCTGAAATTTACCTTTTTTTATTATGCCAAAAGGTCGCTCGCTAACAGGTTATTGTTGTTGGCACTTTAGTCATTGTCTGGCCTTTATGAAATATTTATTATAGTGAGGACATTGCAATGGCTTTGATAACATTATGCTTCAACCTCTACTGAATGTTGTTGCTGTAAAATGAGCAGTTTCTATTAAAGTCGCTTCACAATAAATTTTATCACATGGCATTCAATGATTTACAATGCATTGTTAATGCGCTTTTAATGAGTGTCTATATATATATATATATATATATATATATATATATATGTGTGTGTATATTTTTTGAAGAAAAAAGTTACATGAGCCTGAAAAACTTGTCGCCAGAGATTTCTGTGGGCTATGCAGAACGACAAAGTTGCAATGCCGATCTACGCGACGACGTCTTGCCGCAAAGCCGCCTTAAGCGCTTCAAACTTTTGCTGCACTCAGTCATTAACATTAAAGAGATGCCATGTCGTCGTTTTGTGTAGCTGTTGCTTGCCAGCTACGAAAAACTTTCCAAACTGCACCACGGCACATGTGCTGGAGTCGGCTCCAGCCCCAACCTGCTGCACTGCAGGGGCATATAAATAATTGAGTGGCGCCCCAAAGTAGGCAGCAAAGTGCTGGGCTGCAGGTGCCGCAAGCGAATGTGAAAAATGGTTCCGAATAGACAGGGCAGCTACTTAGTTATGCCAATTCTGTGGGCAGGCCCTAAATGCACGAGTTACTGCTGATGAGCACTACATTTTTTGTGCCCAAATCCGAATTCCAGTCACTTTAACAACGGCCTAGTAAAAAAACTAGAATTGCGTTGCGTCTAGTCAGTTAATTTAAAAGAAAATTTAAGAGTAAAGCCTTATTTAATGCGACAACAAATGCATTAGAAAGGGTCTCGAAAATATATTTCATACATAAATGAAATTAGTCTGGCGCGGCTGAAATCTCTTTGAAGAACGACTTTGTGTTAAATAAATAATGCAGCCTTGCGGCTTCATCACAACAAGCTCAAGCACACACAAATCGCACTCGAGCGGCCTACAAAGAAGCTAAACACAGTCCCAGACAGCAGACGCTTGCAATAATATTTAAGCGATACAAATAACAAGACGCATTCATTTTTATTTTAAATAAAGTTAAGTGTTGTCATGGGGAGTGATCGACTAGCAAATGCCCTCAAATTGATGAAGGGATTCCTCTTTAATGAAGTTTGTGTAATAAAAATTATGCACAATATAAAGGCTATTTTCATGAACTATAATTGAGCTGCTGCTTAAAATATTGATTGAATTTTTTTTTTTGTGAAAATACTGTATGGGTATTGCTATTTAATCGTTAATCAGCAGGTATCCCCCTAATGTGTACAAAAGATTTAAATTGTAGTAAAATTCCAACTGAGTTGCTGCACTTGAAGCCAAGTAAGCAAAGTAGTTCAATTGCCCGCCATAATCAAATGATTTCTCAACATTTGACTATTTTCGCCGAGACAATATAAAGAGCTCAGTATCCCACCATTTCGGTAGAACAACATTAGAAACGTTTTGACAGTGCAAAGCTTGAAGGGAATCATACAAAATTGAACAAAATTTACTTGAAGCACAGACGCTCATTTGAAGCTGATGGCATAAATATAGGCTTCACAATAAAAGCACATAAAACAACCTTTAATTTTCTGCATATTTCATTTATTACAATTTATTGGTCTAGCTCTCATCTTAAGTCAGCGTCTTCAGCGGAGCTCGCAAGTCGTTTATGCCCATTTAAAGTGAAGTTAGGGCATACAAAAATGTGAAAAAAAAAATTTCTATATATATATTTATGTACATATATATGCTGTATATATGCCTAATTTTTAGCATCGTTTACATTGGCGTTTTATTGACGCAGCTTATGTTATTTCGGGCTTTATGGCTGCCACTTCAAGCTGCCGCCTGGGAAATTTGCTGCCGAAATTGTGACGACCAGGTTGAACAATTAAAGCGAGGAAACAACAAAACACACACACGCCCACACACACTAAAGTTCTCTCTTCAACTCGCTTTCAATTCGTTTTCAATTTCAGTTGCCATGGCAGGCAGTGTCAGAGCCTTAGCAACGGAAAAACTTTGTTGATTCAAAGGAAACGCTTTAGGGAATTTCAAGCCAAAACATTTGGAGAAACAAACAGCAAGATGAATATTAGCTCGACTATATGGTAAGTTGTAAGGCAATTACATTAATGTTAACTGAGAAATATTCTTTGCTCAGCTGGTGCAACTGCTACAATAGCGAAAGTATCGTCAATGTCGGTCCCGATGTGCTCTGCCTGCGCGAGGGCAATCTGCTCAAATTCCTGCAGATATCGACTAAGACGATCAGCTACTTTCGTGCGGAGACGCCGGCAACTGGTCTACAAATCAGCGCTTTTGCTGGCCACAATCGCTTTCCGCTCTTTGGCTTCGCCGAAAGCATTCTGCATCCCAACATCTACGTATGCAAATATCCCGAATTCACAAAGTTCACAACGCTGAAGTGTGAGTAGGCTAACCCAATACATATATATAATTTCCTTACCTAGCTTAAAGTGCAATTGCAGCTGACATTGTGCTGACCTTTACAATGATCAGGTTCTCTGAGGTCGATCTGTTGATTGGCATCGGCAGCTATCCCAGATATGCGATTTGTGTGTTTAACTATCGCACCGGCTCAACTCTTCTGGAGCATCCGACTAATATAGCGACACCAGAATTCTCCTTGATGGTGGGCACAACTAATTTGCCGACAATAGTTCAGTATGACAAGATGGAAATGACTATCATTTGCTATGAGATGTTCTTCATTGATAAGATCGCGTATTTGAATAGCACATCCACAGTGACCATGGGCAGGAACTATGCCAAGTCGGCTAGGCATTTCATGTGCTTCGGCGATGACCAAGGGCTCTATGTGGTCAACGATTTTGGCGAATTCTCGCAGATTGATATTCCCTGCTTCGCAATCAAGTCGCGATGGAAGCCCACCTATATTACTGAAACGGGGGTCGCTGAATTGGGGCCACGTGCACACGCGATCATATCACATAGACTCGGATTTCTGATCAGCAATAGCAGCAGGGCGTTCTATATCAAGAAGAAGCACGGCAGCTTCATCGTGGAGTGGACCATCGAACAGGACTTGACCAATATTAAGCTGTTCATTAGCAACAATGGTGAAGTCTATGCATCGGGCAGGTATGGCAGCATTGATCGAGTGGTGCTAGGGGAGAACGAGGGCAAGCTAGAGTCGATGATTGTGGCCGGTAAGCCCATTCTCGCATTCCGCATACTCGCTTGTTTCAAGGAGGAGGTTGTTGCGGTCATACACGACGACGGCTGTGCCATGATGGACTTGCCAACGGGAAAAGTTATCTCGCATGTGCCCATCCGGTCGCCAACTGTCTTTTGCGTGCATCGCGCGAACCCTTTCGTTGTTGTGGGCACGGCTGAGGGCATCCTTATGCTCATCCACTACGAGAAGCCGTCAACTCCAAATGTAGTGTCCCGGATCGAGTGCAATACGCCAGCTGTATATGATATGTCATTTTACGACAACTGCTTCGTGTTTCAAGACCAGGCAAAGGCCTTGCACGTCGTGAACGTGGAATATCGGCCGCCCAAGATGACGCACTACTTCACCTTAAATGACGATCAGCTGCTCACGCAGGTGTTCATTCAGACCTTTCTGCTGGTCGAAGGGCCGCGTCTACTGGTCATGATTTCGCGCGACGGCAGTCTAGAGAAGCCCGGTCATGCGGAGGAGATGTGGATCTACAATTGGGGCAAAGACAGACGTTTCCACAGGCGCGAGCTGTCGCTGCCCAACAGCTATGTTGCCTTCCACATACATCCGCCGATGGGCCGCTGGGTGCAGATTGAGATTGCGGCCGTGGTCAAGGACAGCACAGTATTTGATGTATTAACGCTCAACGAAAACAACGATCTCCATTGGTCCACGTCGATTAAGACGACGCACTTTGGCCACCTGACTGGCATTACCGTCACAAAGCACTTGCTCACATGGGGCGTTGATGGCGTCATGCTTCACTTTCGCCAGCACAAGCGCTCCCGACAGCCATTCATGATGTCGCGTTTCTTGTTGCTATTGCTGAGGCCAGCCTTCTTGAAACGCGTCACGGAGTGCTATAATTCGAAGTAAGTTAAAAAAGATATTGAACTGCTGATGTAGAGCTACACTAACATCTTCCTGTCTGGCTCTCTCTCTCTCTTCAGATACCTCATAGTCTTGAGTAGCAAAAATATAATGACTGTAAGTCGCCTGCCCTCGCTTGCCGACTTTATACGCGAGAACTCGGAAATGCCAGTGCCCGAGAAATTCGTAATACAGGCAACGGCGATGGTGACACGCACCTTTCAGCCGCTCACTTTGAAAATGGAGGTCAAAGAGGAGTACGCACATGCGGATCTGTTCAAGCGAGAGAAGGTGCTGCAAATGATACAAGACTTCTCGGCCAAGGTGACGGCGCTGATCGATTATGACATTTCCGTAACGGGCAAGACGAAGGGCATATTCAAGAAATTTTGCTTTCACTACAAATGGCTGGACACCGTGACGGAGGAGGCGCATAAGCTGTGCGAGCTGGAGAGGGCGTCACTGATGCGCGCCATCGAGGATCAGACGCGCATTAGGAATTGGATTTATACTCTGATCACGCGCGAGGCGACAGGCATTAATTACAAGGTGCGATCTATATTCGCAGATGCGAACTTCGAATGCTTCTCTTTGCCGCGAAAAACGAATATGGTGGAATTTGATAAGTATCGTTTCTATGATCTGGAGGATCATATACGACTCTCTGCGATGTCAATTGAGGAAATTGAGAATGACGGCAGTCAGGAGCTGGTGTCCGGCGAAGATACTGAAGGCGCCAAAAAAACATTTCGCGAACTTAAGAACTATGTGGTGGAAGGTCCCTGCGTCTACGATCACATAATGTCGCCACAATTTCAACTGCAGAACTATAAGTCAGTCACCTCGAATCAATTGTTCAATGACAATACAAAATATCACTATTATTTGGTTGATCCCTTGAAGCTCGAGTTCAACAAGTACTTCCACGAGGCTCAGCAACTGAAGAAGGAGACCATCGACAATGTGCTCAGCACAAACAACGTGCTCATTAAGATCTATGACAACATGAATTGCATGCTGAGGCTCTTGAGAATGGATCCGTTAATTCCGCCTGAGCTGACCGTGCCAAAGCTGGCCAGGGACGAGATCATCAGGTGTATTGTGGAGGTCGATGATTGCGAAATTAAGGCAATCAATCGGCGTAGGAGGAAGACCATTGATACGGGCGGCAAACGGGGTCGCTTGCTGCTGTGGTCCGTGGAGTTCTGGGCGCGGGCTTTAATCGTCATGATGGATGGCGTGATTGAGAAGCTGTGGGAGGAGGAGATCAAAAAGGATATAGCAGTGCCGGAGTTTGTGCTTAAGAAGCAGCCCCATGAGTATTCACTGGAGGAACAAAAGATTTACCGTGCCTACGAGGAGGCCGTCAACTTACTACAGGAAGATCGTCGCAAATATTTGCGCATCTTGAACGAGAACGAAGCCAAGACGCTGCAGCTGAAGACCAAGCAAATTCTCAAGCTGAACCATCGCGTCGCCGAGCTGATGCTGCTCAAGTTCAAGTACAACTTTGCCCAGAAACAGTGTCGCATGCGCACGCTCAATTTTGTGGAAATCCACCTCATACGCAGTCAACTGCGCCGGGATATCATTGCCCTGCGAGCCCATGTTGATAAGTTGGGTGACTACATAAGGCGGTACACCAACTTGCAGGAGTTTTGGGAACAGGCCATGCAGGAAGTGCGCACGCGCCTCGAGGCCCAGCAGACTCGAGATCGCGCTCTCGAACGGCAATTCCGGGGCAATTACTTAAACTCTGTGCCGCATGCCGCCCACGAGATGACAAAGCTCTTCAAGAAGCGGCCCAAGCTATCTAACAAACTGTTCAACTCACATCTAATTTGCAGCGAAGTGGCACAAAAGCTCGGGCCCAAGCAACCGAATCGTATGACATTCCCCATGCCCAAAGAGATACACGATTTTCTTGCCTTCATCGCCGAGAATGATGCACCCAAGAACTGTCCAACCTCGGTGGACGCTAAGTCCTGGGATGCTTTTGTCAAGTTGCGCCGTCAAAAGATCGAAAGTGAACTGCGCCTGAAGGGCCTCGGACATCAGGTGTTAGACAGCCAAACCTACTATAACAGCCTTACCAAGGATATAAACGGGCTGAAGGATACCAAGGCTCTAACTCAAAAGGAAACGGACGATACCATACAGAATTACGTGAGTGATTCAGATTTAGTTAAATAAAACTATAATTTATTATACCTATTACTCAGCTGGAGGTCTTGAGGAATGCGCCGCTTCAGTTGACCTTGACACTGGGCCAAGTGGAGGTGTCAGTTAGGGGCTCCGTCAAGGCGCTGTCAAACAGCGTGCTGATGCATGTGGATGACATCAATGATGTTAATCGCATGATAAAGGTATTCAGAAAAGATATATAAATCTATGTGAGGCGGCGACTATATTCACTCTACTTACAGGACGCTGGCAACAAGAAGATCAAGGCCATGCAGCGCGTCGCCGTCTTCAGGCGTCAGGTGATATTCAAGGAATGGGAGCACAAGCTGTACAAGGCCAACATAGCCTATCTCAAGTATATGCTGGATGCCATCGGGAAGTGCAAGATAACCATCGAGTTTCTCAACATTCTGCGCAACTGGGAGAAGATGAAGGCCAATCGACAGAAAATGATGACGGCCGGTGCCATAGAACGTATTATAGAGCAGAAAATCGCAGTGTTCAGAAAGCAGATCGAACGCGTGTAAGTTTTCAGTTTGCTTCTCCTAAAACTTAGACTAATTACAATTGACTTTAGCAATATTCAAATCGACGATGTCAAGCGGCAGACTCTCGAGAAAAAACGGCAAAATCATTTGATTGACTCGAAAATCGATCGGCTCAAAGTCGATGTTGCTCTGAAGAGCTCAATGCGCGACACTATGATGGAAGAACGTCGCGATCGCGAGCAGCACGAACGGTATGTATATATATATATAGCCTCGATTCAGATTACTGATAGCTCTCTTTTTCAGCATGGAACAGATTAAGACCCATCGTCAGCTGTTGGACAGTGTGCGTAAGCACTATGCTCACGTCTTGGAATTGCAAACGATCTTGGAGCTATTGCGCTTGCGCACATACCCAACTTTGGGCCCACCTTTGCCCCAGTGTCATCCACCCGTACCAGAGCATATTCTCAATTCTGTACCTTAGATTAATATATGTCACATCGATTGTCTCCAATAATTTTAAATTGTTTCTCCCAGAGCAACACACGCAAATTGCTTTTAAACACCTTCGATTTTAATTAGCCAAACAGCAGACAGTGCACTGGCAAGTGGAAATTTATTAGCGGTTTTTAGTTTTGCCGGATATGTATATATATATATATATATATGCATATATATCTCGACTCGGCATCTGTGTCTGTATTTTGGGTCTGGGTCTCGATATCTGTCGGCACTTGATTTAATTTGTTTGTGTCTGAGCAAAGGCATAAAGTCATCGTCTGTCTGTCTATTAGAATTCGCTATTAATTTCGCTGCTTCTGGCTTTCAAGTGGAAAATAAACTTTTCAGACCAAAAGTGTGCACAGCAACGCCGACCCAGACCCGGCCACAGCCACAGCCACAGACAGAGCCATAGCCATAGCCAGACCCAGAGCCAGAGCTGAAGCCAATAAGTGAGCATCCGCTTAATTTCAGGCACGCAATTTTACATTAAATTGTTTTAATGGATTGCACTTGAAACTAAGCGTCGAAGAGCAACAAAAACAGATGCTGTCTGGGCGGGCTTATGAAGTGTCGCTACCCTGCTCCGGAATTTATATATATATGTATAAAAATGTATAAACTGAATATATGCTTTAATTTCAATGATTCTGGAGTATATGACAATTTTATTTACTCATTTTCCAATCAACCTCAATCGAATAACATTATTTTTCAGCAGACACATAAATAACATATTTGTGTAAATAGCTTAAAAGGCCGATATTACAATAATAAATTGCTGTGTTTACTTAATGCAAACAGAAATGCGGACAGTGCCCGATGAGGCCGATGTGGCTAAAATATATTGCATCAAGATCGGGGCCAATTGTTTGCTCTCTGCCAGCTGTAAATGTCATTTAAATATTTACAAAGTGAAAAATGAAAAATGCAAAATGCAAAATGCAAAATCGCGTGCGTTGCCAGACAGGTCAGCTTTGATGTCGACCACGTCACGTAATCAGCGCTTATCACTATTCACATTTCGATTTGTATAAACATGTAAATGCTAGGCTCAACGTGCCAAACTGTACTTTTCGTGTGCTCAATGTGTCCCGGTGACAGCACTGAGAGCAGTCGAAGATCTAATACCCTGGCCCAGCTACATTCGAATTAAACGTGCACTTTTAGCGCACAACTAATCTACCCGCTGCAGATGTTTTTAATGTTTACTTTGGCCCCGATAGTTTGACCTCAGTGATGATTAGACAATAACTTATCTCTATTGTATATTATAGTACAAAAAATTGCTTTTCATTTCAATTTCTCAACTTGATTGATTACGTCTCTAGTTGTATACCCTGTATATATATATGCTGGCATGCCACAAAAATCTTCAGTGTTTATAGCAGACTTTTCGAATTGAAATTATATATTTTTTATTTACTAAGACCTTACTATGATCTATTTACTTGATCTTTATGATCTTGATATTTTTTTTTAATTTTTATTAATTTTAATTTATTTATTTTTTTTTTAATATTTTTAAGCTGTCTATACTAGACAATAAACAAATTTGTGAACAAATATTATTGTAACGTAACCGGATGGCTTGGGCTTCAATGAGATATTTGATAGGAAATTGAGTATCAATTTGAAGTCTGCCCTTCCGCCTGTGACACACATTAGCTAAATTTCAGCATAGCCTAAGTTCACAGTTTGAATGTGTTGAACTGCAGCGCCTCTTATCAAAAATATAAACAAAAACAAAACTGGAGCTAATATGCTCCACATGTTGTTCATTGACGTCGCCGCTAACCAAAGCTCAAAATGAAATCAAGCCTAAGAAAGTCAAAAAAAAGAAGCTGGTAGGCAACTGTTTAATACTCTACTTTAGATATTTATATACATATATATGCATATTGTTAATAACTCTTAAGCTGCAGATCCAAAAGGCAGCTGCTTTCTGAAGCTGCTTAAGTAACTGGACTAAAGTTTTATCATGATTTACCTAAATGTCAGTGTCATTGCTCTCATGGCAGATATGCCCCTTATGCCCTACTCTATACCCTACGTCTGACAATGTAAGCAGCTAATATTTGAACTAGCTGCTATTACATAATCTGCTGCTGATTAATGTAATTCCCGATGATCGCAGCATATTTAAAAGCTGATCGAGCGTGGCAAAGTGCTCAGTTCTTAGCAGTCAGCGTTGCTTTTTAGATCTATCTGAAACAAATCCTATTCAAAATGTCGAAATTCGTGTTGATGTTCCTTGTGTGCGCCTTTGTTGTTGTAAGTCACTTAATGCTGTCAGATTGTGGCAGAGTCTAAAAGTAATTTCACGTTACAGGTGTGCAGCGCTGATGAGGTCAAGAAGGATTCGCCACTGGACGAAATTCAGGCCACTATTGAGGCTCGTCTGAAGGAGGTTAAGGATTATTTTAACGAGCACGTCGACCAGGCTAAAGTCAAGGAATTCGTCGAAAAATTCGGTGAAAATGCCAAAAAATTCATAACTGACACCCAAAAGGACGCCGAAAAACTGACTGAAAAGAAAGCAAGGAAGTAATGAAAATATACTTGAAATAAACTGAAGATTGAATAATCTTCAATGTTTCCAAGTTGACCATAAAATAAAGAAATCACAAACTGAATCAGCTTGCCTTCTATTTTAGTAAATTGAATCAGGCCATAGTGAAATATTTGATTTCTACTTCATAGAAAGGCAAACACACAGACCATATTCAGATGCGATTTTCCATTAAGTAGTATCAAGAGCTTGAGTAAGATTTTAGCTGTTTCATTTTTGCGTTTTAGTTTATTTATTTAATTAGTTAAATAAAATACAGAAAAGTGGATCAAATTCATTATCATCTATAATAGTTTCAAGTGGATCTCTTAAGCGGAGTCACGCAATCTTTGCACACGATATGCCCCAAGGTGCACTGAAAGCTATCGTCCGGATGGGGCAGCTCCAGGCAGACAGTACATAGCATTACCTCGCTCAGCTCCGGCTGCGTGAGCTAAGATCCTCTCTCATATGCACTCAGGTTGATATATAGTATTAAGAAATATATTACGGAAAACAAAGTCAGTTTTCAATCCACATTTGAAGGCCAAAGTAATCAAATCCATTATTCAATTAAAATTTTATTTAGGCAACACTTGGTGTACATATAAATACATAAATATATATATGACATATATAATATATATATAATATATAAATATATATATGACCTTAATAATATATATACAAGTTTATATAAGGAAAGTAATTTAGTCAGCTTTCTTGGGTTATCTAACATGAACCCTCTACAGAGCTCAATCGACATCAAATTACTTTTCCGGCTATGATAAGCTGTGCTCCAAAAAGAAAACAACAAAAAAATAAACAATATTAGAACAAATCCCGCACGTCTAATAATTTAGGATTCCAAAATGAATGGAATTTTTGATTCCTGCCACACAGAAATCTGAATTCCCTTATCCATTCCGATTCCCTTATCCATTCCATCCCAAAGAGAAAAGCTGGAACTAAGCATAATTCTAGTTTACCCCGAATTCCCTTCGAAATCTCGCTCGATTCCCGCTGCGCACAGCCGATCACATCTTTGGAGCTGATAAGTGCAAAGCACGTGTGACTGAGAAGCAAAGTTCTTCAGCTGAGGCAACAATTCGGATCGCTGGTCAATTGTTGTATTAGTACTCATCTCGTCGCCTGGCTGCTTGGAGCTGCGTTGAACACTTGTAAATCTATAATTATGGCCAAGATCGCTGTTGTTTTTCTGGTCATTGCGCTATTGGCTGTAAGTTGACTTGTGAATGCATATGGAGTGTGGGTACGAAAGTGTTTATGCTCGTCTGTCTTGGTCGATTATCATTTTGCAGCTCTGCACCGCCAACGAGGTTAGCCCGGAGGTCAAACAACTCGAGCAGTTTAGCGCCCAATTGGGAAATGTATTCGCCAATCTAACCACAATGGTCAAAGCATACGTGGATCCGGAGGCGATGCAGAAATATGCCAACCAATTCATTGACAACGCCAAGAACTTTGTGGAAAACCAAAAAAAGAACCAGCCACAAAACTAAGATTTGTTAGTTGTAAACAAGCTGCATGAAAATGTATAGACATAAGCCAAAACAAATGCCAATAAAGAGAGCGTAAAGCCATTCACTTAATACCAATCTAAAACTGTAAAGCATTATTCATTTTGATTAGCAGAAATACAAGGCAGGAGATACGTAGAACAAAAAGTATCTATCTTTCCGCTATCTATTTATATGCTCACAGATTATGTTTTATGAAGCAAGAATCGAAAACATTAAATTTGTAATATATAATAAATATAAAAGACAAATAAACATGTTTCTTAAATCAACCTTATATATTATATTTGTTCGCATGATAATTTACTTAGGTATAGATATTTTGCTTTTGCTTTGGTCACTTTATGAAAATATAAGTTGAGCATGTGGTGTGGCCAGACATGCACACGAAATTATAATCAATGTACAAACAACTAGCACCTGCACGCTGCTGCCCCGACCTATGGCACACTCGGCCCGACGCTACTGATAAGTGCGCAAAGTCGGTGGGCTGCTGTCCAAAAGACGCAGAGAAGACGCAAAAGAAGGTGTTCTTACGAGTGAATTGCAAATAGTGAATTCAGAACTCAACTTCGTGTGGAACTGTGCAGAGCTAAGTCAATTTCCAAAACAACTTAAAATGGCCAAGATCGCTGTCCTGTTCGTCCTTGTTGCACTCGTTGCCGTAAGTACAGTGGGCGTGGCCGCGTGTTTGGCTTTTATATTTTCGTGTTTTCCTTCGTAGATCTGCAACGGAAATCGCGTGACGCGTGATGCTATACAAGAACCCAGTCTGGGCCCAGCTCTGCAGCCGTTTGTCGACAGCGTGAAGCAGCTGTTCAGCGATAAGAATATTGATGTAAGTAGTTGGCAACGATAGAATTGTTGATTGTTGATTGTCGATTGTGACCTCCATTCATATGCAGGAATTGAAGAAAACTGGCGATCTGGTTACGACACGTGCTGGAGAATTCGGCGCAGATGCTACCAAGTTGTTTAAGAGTTGGGTTGACAAGCTCAGCTTGGACATCGAGAAAAGTAGGAAGCAATAAATACACCAGAACATGCAACGAACAATCCCAATAAAAGTTTAAGAACTTGCAAAATAATCAATTTCGTAATTAGTTCAACATCATCCAGAGTCGCAGCTTGATCCGCGGCATGGCCAGCAGACGGTAAGTGGCTATAGGGCAGCTCATGGGCAGCAGTTTGAAGTCGGAACTCTGGCCGGGCATGTTGAAGTATGCCTGATTTAGCTGCGGCTCCACATCCATTAGCTGCTTGGCCCGCACATGTATGGCCGGCAAGGTGGCAAAGTATTTCACCAGCAATATCTCACGCGGTGACGACAGGATCTTTAGACTATAGCTAAGCCGCAGCTCAGTGGCGCCGAGCACCAGCTTGACACGCAAGCGCCACGACTCCTCGAACACAAAAATGGTGGCAGACTGAAAGCGAAGCTCGGCGTTCAGGCGAGATGTGTGCTGCGGCCAGCGCAAATCCAGATCCTCATACGAAATCCTCTGGGCACTTAGCTGCCGATGGCACTGTCGCAGCGGCTGGACAGCCATCTGCTCCAGCTGGTCTATGGTGCTTAGTGCGGTCAGAATCTCATCGCTAGACATTTGCAGATTGCTGCAGCTGGCCTCATGTTGGGCGCTGTCCTCCTGACAGCCCTGCCAGATGCAGCCCAGACAGCGATATTTGCAGTGCACCAAGCGCTTAGTACACTCCGTTTTCAGGTGCTTGGCCAGGCTCTTGTATTCTATTTGCTGCTCGCAGTCGGAGCAGTTTTTCGGCAGCTCCCAGAGCGTCTGGCCCACGGCCAGGTTCTTTGTCAGTTCCTGCCAGCTGATGTGGGTGCGACAGTGCGGGCACTGGGCATCGCGACTGTTCAGCGCCGCCTCGGCCAGCAGACGAGTCACGCAATCTTCGCACACGATGTGCCCCAAGGTGCACTGATAGCTATCGTCCGGATGGGGCAGCTCCAGGCAGACAGTGCACAGCATTACCTTGCGCAGACGCTCGCTCAGCTCCGGCTCAGTGCGTGCTGCATCGACGGCACTCGAACCGGCCGGCTGATCTGTGTCCCCTGCACCACCTCCATCCATGTTCAAACGCTGGCGCTTGTAGGGTCTTGTGGCGTCTTCTTCCGTGTTGGGCATTCTGTGTTTTAATTTGGATATTTCGTGTTGCTCTTTTCATGCAATTGAAACACGACTTGGCTCCAGGAAAGTCAGCTGCTCGAGTTTAAGGTTATTTTCATTTGTTTGTTTCAAGTGTTGTTGATTTTCATATGTTGACTTAGCTCACAGTTTGTAAGCCCCAACTGATCGACAATACAGCCCATGGACAACGCCAACCTAGATCTTAGGGCTCCATATTATTTAAATAACAACTTTTGAAGTAAAAATAAATTATTTCTAAAATAAATTCTAAATGCTCGTTTGAATTTGCAGGCATAAATTAGAGTAAATAAAAATTTGGCATTTATATCGAGCTTAGATTTTTATAAGAATTCGCTGAGCGGAAGAGAAGATGCAGCTATATATTATACATAATCAAGCTGAGATCCTCTCTCATATTCACTCTTGTTGATATATAGAATTAAGAAATATATTACTGAAAACAAAGTCCATTTTTAAACCACATTTGAAGGCCAAAGTAATCTAATCCATTATTTAATTAAATTTTTATTTAGACAACACTTAGTGTACATATAAATATATAAATATATATATGGCATATATATTATATATATATTATATAAATATATATATGACCTTTATAATATAAATACAAGTTTATATAAGGAAAGTAATTTAGTCAGCTTTCTTGGGTTATCGAACATGAACCCTCTACAGAGCCTAATCGAAACCAAATTACTTTTCCGGCTATGATAAGCTGTGCTCTAAAAAGAAAACAATGTTTTTATATTAGCTCACGAAACGAGAGCAGTATATGGGTTTCGTGCGATTTTTAGCTTGCTGACTGTGCGTGTGTCTCGGCAGATAATGTGGAATATATATATAGCTATAGCTGCTACATGCTTAGACCATATAAATGTCAATATGGCAAGTTGGAAAATGATATTGTTTATCCACAGATTGCGAGCTGAGATTCAGTTCACCTTCTCTTCAGTTAGGCCAAGAAAGAAGTTATCAAAATTGGTTAAGTGTGAGCGAGTATCAAGCAGTCAGTTGGGTTTTACTTTCCAAATTCTAGTTCGTATTTAAATAGCACTGTTATATAACCGTATGCTTTGGAGCTCGTTGATAAGCGCAAACACGCCATGTGAGGCAACATAATTTATGCAATCATTCTTAAAATGTCAAAGTCAACTAATAATTGTACAAGGCGGCAATCAAGCTTGAGAAATGACTAGAAATGTCGAAACATTTTTTAGAACACTCACACACGCACACACTCTCTCTCTCTATCTATGTGTGTGTGTGTGTGGCAAAAAGCAAACAAATAAATGCTAAATTACATGCACAAAAAGGCGACAGCTGTAAAATATTTGCCAGTTATTTCACACACCTGTCTGCACAGCGAGTAAGGCAAAAGCCATGGCCATAACATGAATAATGTACGCCACTCTACCTCTCCCTGTCTCTCCCTCTCTGTCTCTCTCTTTCTCTCCCAGCCTGTACATGTGCCGTGTTCATGTCATCCATCCGCCTCAGCCGCGCACGATTGCATAACATCAAAGTAGATTTCTGCTTCCCATTGAAGCGTATCGCTTTTCTTGGCCGTACTAAAAAATGTTCTCACTGAAAAAGGCAGCAAACTGTAAGTGTAAAATTTATAAATGTTTAGCATTTCTCACTGAGGCATGAAATGTCTCTGTTTTTAGTTTCTGCTCTCTCTCTTCTTTTAAATTATATATTACATATAAAATGGATTTTTAGACGTAAGCTAAGCTCACATATTTGGCCTGGCTAAGCAATGATAAATAAGAGACAAATCTTAGTTGAGCTGCTGCACATGTGCTGTGACTTTCATGAGTCAATTCTCAGCGTGCTGCAAAGACACTAGCTGAAAGTCTTACTAAGGTAAACAGACCAGTTTTCTATATTTAGACTCAGTTTCCGTTAGCCTGAATCGCAATTAAAGTCAACATGTTTCGCTTGCAGATCTCGCTATAATTTATCCAGCAGTTTTTATCAATTCGCTTTCGCCATCCAACATGACACATTTTCAGCTCAGTTAAATGTTTAAAATGGCAAACAGTCTAAACAAATGCGGAGCAGAGTTAAAAATAAATCACGCATACGCCATGTGTGCGTTCCACAGAGTCAGTTAAGTCGCCTGCTTGTCAATCGTCTGTATGGCAACTCGTGTTTAATTAAAAATTTAATAAATGCTGCCACAACAACACCCAACACGGGCTGAAAGAAGCTGAAAAACGCGTAACCTATTTTGTTGTTGCCCTTAAAGGGAGAAGAAGAAAAAAAACAAGCTGCACACAAACTGAAACCCAAACACGACGCACACAATTGCAATTCTCCTTCGGCAACAATATGGCAGACATGCGTGTGCCTGTAGCTGTTTGTGTGAATGCATTGTAATGCTAATTTAAATAACGATAAGCCCAACAAGAACATCAGCTTTACCAACAACACCCAACACACACACACACACCCACACACACACGATGGCAGCGACAACAATGGCAACAATAATAGGAAAACAATTTGACAAGCTGTGATTTTGCCATCGTAGCTGCTATTAATACCCTATGTGCTTATGAGTCCAATCAATTGATCACAATCAATGTGGCGAGGTCTGTAAATAGCGCTCTACTATGCGATTCTCAAAAATTGAAGCAAGCTCATTAGGCTTTGTGTGTTGTGTGAATCAGCCGCAGCAGGGCGACCGTTAGAAGAGGATGAAACTTAGTCGAGCTGAGACTATAATCTATGCCTATAAATATATAAATATATATGTATTATGATCATACTTAACCTCAACATCTCCTTTACCTCCCTCTCTCTCTCTCTCTCTATCTCACTTGTGCACGGCATCTTGTTCTCTTTTTCTTATTATTCTTCTCCTAATACTTCTTCAGTCTCTATGTGTTTTTCTCTCTCTCCCTCTCCCTCGCTCCCTCTCTCTCTATGCATAAACATATCTACAAACATGGAACTGTGATAGAGTATGAAATCTGTATCTAAGCACAGTTACAGTTTTCTTCCAGCTAGACAGACTGTCAGCGTCGATAGAGCATCACACACACACACACACACACCCACACAAACACACCCACACACACGCACACTACTGGCATATTAGCGTTGTATGCAAAAACAAATAATAAAGCCACTTGCGCATAAGAAGAACGGGGAAAAAACATACTGCTGTGCGTCGACTCATTGTTGTTCTTGTTGCAGTTGTTGCTATTGTCGTTGTTGCGTGAGCGTGTGCCATGCCAGCATAGAGCAGGCATTATCCTTTCTATCACTTGCCACATTTTCGCATAATGCGGCGTAAAATAGCGTCATTGTTGTTGCTGCTGCTGCTGCTGTTGCCGCTGCAGTTGCAAACAATGAATACATTTGTAATGTTAATGGAATGCAACGGCAGCGGCAACAGCAGCGGCAACAGAAACAACAAATGCCAGCAACTAGCAACTACATCAGCAGCTATTTTAGAGCTGTTGTTTGTTAGTATTGCGCTGCGTTGCGTTGTGGTGCGTTCAGTTACTTTGTCATAAAAAGAAACCCACGCCCAATGAAAACATGAGCGACACTGCAGCGCCCTTTGGCAATAAGTAGACAAGCCTTAGGTATGAATATGTTCTCTGCATTTTTTCAAAGTCTTCAAGCATTGTATTTAAACCTGAACAATTCTTATTGCCATACCTGAAATTCTTCAAAAACATGTGCCTGAATGCAGGGATTTGTTTTTATGCAGACATTAGAATCGTCCATTTGATGATGAGCATTGAAGAAAAACAGTCTTGACTAAGTAATTTCATCAGAATTGACTCGAAAGCCTCAACCTTTCTTAGCAAAATATACGAAAGAGCTCACAAGCTAAAAATAAATGTGATATAAAATCGGAACTAATCACGTATATAACGTATACAATCGAATAGGTATGCTTAGTCGAGACTGCTCGACTAGAAGATACCCTGAACCATTGCGCAACCAACGCACACATACGCAGGAGCTACTTAGTCTAAGCATAATGTTACTTCTGGTTGAACTTTCTTCATCTAATTTTCAGAGCTTGAAGATATTCATATGTGTGTATATATCAAAGCCTTAGTAAGGACAGATAGATGGACATGGCTGGATGGATTCAGCTTCTCGACCTGATCAAAAACATATATATATTTTTTATGTGCTATGGCACGCCTCCTTCTACCTGTGGCATACATTTTCACTCAGTTCCCGTTTTCTATGGGTTCAGTGTATAAAAATAAATTATATAATCGCACTTATATATTATATATGCCTCTTAAAGGCATAACGCATTAATGCGAGACTAAAGCATTATCTATGCAGAACCTATATAAGGTTGCCGCGAATGCAAAGTCAATTATAAGTTTCTCTAGAATGGTAAAGTTCTGTGGTTATCCAGTGCTTGTGCTGCTGCTAACAAGTGTTGTTCAATTGTGCTCTGCGAATACTGCAGCCACGACGATAATTGGGAATGTTTTGCAGCGCACTGATAAGATAAATTTTGTTATGTCGCCCAAATTATTCGTCGACAGCCTCTATGCAATCTATATGGGAGCTAGAAGTGAAACACTCAATGAAATCGCCAGATTTCTACAAGTTAAACACAAAACAAGGGCCGAGGTAATCGCAGAGCTGACAAATGGTAATCAAATTATTGCCCATTCTCTGAATGAGAACCTATATGCGGCCACAAGTGTATTTGTGGCCAAAAATATCAGTATAAATAAAACGTATCGAAACGTAATAAAAAATAAACTCAAAACTGATTTTCATCAATTCAAATCATCACGAATTGGGTGATCAGACATACCCATAAACATATAACGGAACTGATTGATAAGATGAACTCAGACAGACATCTAATGCTTTTCAGCGCTACATATTTTAATGAGACGTTAGAATTACCAAATCCGAAATACATCAATGCAACATTCTATTCACCTCTAATCAAAGGATTTATGAACAAATTTAAGACT